CAAGAAAGAACACTACTTGGTCCTTCAGATATAGTTGGATTGCGACTCCCAGTATATGCCATCCCAAAGCTGCTGGGATTTGCATCCAACATCATCTGGAGGAGAACCTGATTCCCTCCCTGGCGGACAAAGATTCAGCCTTCTTGTGAGCTGGTGATACCTAACCTTAGCACCCCAAGGCAGATATCTATGGGCCCTTCCACACAGTCATATAACCCAAAATATCAAGGTGGAAAATGTACAATATCTTATTTGAATCTGAGTCCACACTGCCATATATTCCATTTAAAGTAGATAGCTGTGTGTAAGGAGCTTAAGAGTGGGTCTGGAAACTGCAGTATTCCAGATGTTTTTGACCTCTGTGTGTGCCTTCAAAGTCACCTATCTACTCATGATGATCCCATTACATTTATAGGGTTATCCCCAGATAGGGTATTGCCAGCTCCTTCCTCTGAAATAGAGCCTACAGTCCCTGGTATTTTTTGGAGGCCTCTCGTCCAGTTATGAACCAGGGCTGATCTTACTTAGCTTCCAAGATCAGATGGGACCAGATTCCTTTAGGACATTTAGGTTGAGAATATCTATAATCCCTCACAGTTTCTGACTAGGGCTGGGGAGAGCTGCAGATCTGAAACATCTGGAGACCTTCAAGTGCCCACCCTGACGTAGAAAAATCTGCGGTTCTCAAACACTTCGTAGAAAAATCATAGGCAGGAGCAGAAGGAAAAAGAAACCGGATAGATCACATAGCTTGTTTTCATTTTGAATAAATTACTTTGTTTTTGGTTTTTCTGTGACTTCAAATTGTTAATCACATATTGAAACTTTTTGTTTTTGTTAAGCAACCAACTTCAACTTACGGTGGTCATGGAATTCCTTGGCAAGACTGGTTCAGAGTGGGTTGATCTTAGTCTTCCTCTTAGGCTGAGAGAGGCCGTGTCTACATTGTAGAATTAATGCAGTTTGACATCACTTTAACTGCCATGGCTCAATTGCTATGGAAGCATGAGAGCCTTTAGCCATCTCCTGGCATTTCACCAACTATAAATCCTAGAATTCCATAAGATTGAGCCATGGCCATTAAAGTGGTGTCAATGTAGGTGCAGCTAGAATATGATTTGTCTAGAGTCATTCAAGGGTCCCCTGGTGGCACAGCGGGTTAAACCGCAGAGCTGCTAAACTTGCTGACTACAAGGTCGGCAGTTTGAATCTGAGGTGTGGGATAAGCTCCTGATGTTAGGCCCAGCTTCTGCCAACCTAGCAATTCAAAAACATGCAAGTATGAGTAGATCATTAGATTCTGCGCTCCATGCAATCATGCCGGCCACATGACCTTGGAGTTGTCTATGGACAATGCCGGCTCTTTGGCTTAGAAATGGAGATGAGTGCCACTCCCCGGAGTTGGACAGGACTAGACAATGTCAGGGAAAACCTTTACCTTTACTTTAGAGTCAAAGGATTTTCATAATTCAAAGCTGATTTTCTAAAGTCCCAGTGCAACACTCAAACTACTCATGTCACACTGTTTATGTTTCTTGGAAGTGGTTTGCACTGACAGTCCTTGAGCAGGTAATTATAAATTGAGGATCATAAACAATGCAAGTGTAAACAATGCAAGCAGACGTCTGCTCCGAAGTACAGAATAATAGAGTTGGAAGAGACACTGTATAGATTCAGTGAGACTTGCTTTCAACTAGAAATGCATATATCGATTGCAGCCTGAGTGTAAAGAAAAGGAAGCTGGAATTTATCATGGGAAGGGGGCTTGGCTCAATGTTTGTTTTTGAACTGGTTGCATCAGACTCTGAGTTTGCCCTGCTGCACCTTTAAGGGGCGGAAAAATATGATGCAATTGTGGGTGTTGTGGACACATACAAATATATATAGCCAGGCAAACACAGCTAGAGAAGAAAACAAGCTCACAGCAGAGCAGGGAGTTTGACTGCAAGTTTTGTGTGGTTTTTCTCCACCAACTGACTACAACAGATCCATTCCATAATGTCAGTTTCTTTTGTTCAAGCTGAGAAGCTGCAGCCAACTCCTTTCGAGGTGGAATACTTTGACCAATACGATTACTACAGCCTGACAGACAGATATGGTGGTAAGTATAGTGGGAGAAAGAGGGGTCCCAAAATTGGGGGTATCAACTGATGGGGAGCATGTGCTGTAGGCTGAGATTGAAAAGGAAGGGTAACAGATGCAAGGAGAGGGGATACTGTGCATCTGGCCAGGGATTGCTGGGAGAGGGAGTCCATAAATTGACTTTGCAAAGATTTAGGGGCATATGAAAGGCTGAGAGGTGGGTTAGGAGTACTGAAATGTTGGGGAATATGATCCCACAACCATCTAATTCTATGCTGCATAGAATTGTCTGATTCTGCACCCAATGTCTGTACTCCAATTTAATGGGCTGACTTTACCATCATTGATCAATCATAAGCCGTGACTTTCACAGCACTAATTTAAGCCACACTAACTGTACATCCAAAAGAGGAATCAAAATAGGTTACTAGTCCACATGAAATAATCTCAAGGCACTCCTAAGAGAAAACTGAGGTACACGATCAGAATTGAGTTTTGCAAGGCATTCTTAAATGCTATGGTTCAGTCAACCAAAGGAAAGGTATTACTATCTCAGCCATCCATGTGGGCAATTCTGGAGTATTTTTAGTATCTGAATTAAGGATATTCAACCTGTATTACAGAAGAAAAATATATCAATGTGCATAGTCTTACCTGTGCTTGTAGTTATAAACTTTATGTATTCATTAAAATATTTCTCCTTCAACCCATACAAAAATATATCAGGGCAGTGTGCAGGCAAATCAATGCTAAAAACCAAAATGCATTAAACACATGCATATCTCCAAATGGATGTAGGGAAAAGCATTTTTCCCTCTATCCTCCCACATCATTCTTCTAAAATCCCAAGTCTAGATCAAGGCCATATATGTACATCTCCCACGAGAGAAAACTCCCATTATTGCATGCTGTCTGTTTCCCCACAAATACAGATGCACAGCTGGCTGAGGACAAGTTCTGGCAGCTCACACCCACATTGCACAGATTAAGTCTGTATCGTGCTAAGAGTATTTTTTTTTAAGCAAGCGGATACTGGAATGACCATGCTGGCCGGAGAATTCTGGGAACTGCCATGCTGAAAACAAAATTTGAGGGTTTACCACATTAGAAAGTTATGAACAAGTAAACTGGGAAGAGGTCTTTAGCAGGGTGAACCTCTGTCCCTCGAAAACAAAAATGTCAAAACTGAACCTATTCTGCGTAAAGGAATTTGAAGGGACTCTTCTGGAGAGAAAATTAATCTCTTCTGTTTTCCATTGAGTAACTGTGCCATGAAACACATTTTTTTCCAAAATGACTGGATGGAAGATTAAATTGAAAGGAAAATTATAGATTTGAAAGAAGAGGGAATAATCCTGCTTGCAAATGCTTTGTATTATGCTAGTATTGTAAATGGCTAGTCAGCTAAATTTGAGGCAGTGCTTCCTAGATGACCACTAATAAGCAAATTACAATACTAGTCCTACAGAGAACAAAAGATCAAGGTTTTCATGGCATTGTCTTCATGAATCAAAACACAGACTTAAAGCTGAATAAGTGAGAACCAACCCTTGGAGAATGGGTTGGAAAATGTAGTGCCCTAGACCTTCTTGGGATTGCTACCTCCATCATGCTACCTCAAATGGATGTTTTCTTCTAGCCACAAAGGACCAACCATCTAAGGTTAGAAGCAACAAAAGACCCTGACAAATCATGGCCAAGGAGCAAAAACAAACAAATCGAGGGCTACCCTTCAGTACAATTGCAGTGCTATTGAATTATGAATGCCTTTTAACTTTATTTTTTTTAATATTGTAGTTGCATCCTCCCGTAAAGGCCGCTCCAAGAAAGAGGCAGAGGACAACACAAACCGTCCAAATCCCGGTGGCCATGAACGCAAAATACTCCAGAAGCTGCAACGCACGGAGCAGAAACGGAAGGAAACGGCTTCTAAGAAATGAAAATCATAGGTAAGATGCTTCTGGTGTAGGTCAGCAAAGTGACTGCTATGTTGAGCAATGGAAAGCCTCCAAGAAGTATGGCCAATAGTAGAAACAAGAAGTGACTTTTCCTCGTATGAAAGGGGTGGGGGTAACTGAAATATTATCTATCATAATTATATTTTCTGCTAACCAGGTGAAACTCAGGTGTCATACAATATGGGCATAACATTGAGGAATCTACCTTTCTCAAGCAGCATGCAAACATGCACATTATTAAGTTCTTTTCTCTCTTTTTCCACCCCAGATGAGTCTTGTGTTACTCAGGTTCGGACAACAATGGCTCTGTTGATGTGGACATGGAAATAGATGGACGCCATGCAACTGACTGGTTCTTGTGTTAAGGAGTGATGAGCAAGATCTTACTACTCGCATCAAATGGGAGTGAAACTGAAGACTGTCAAGATGGCTGCAGCTCACCCCAAAACTTGAGGTTGCTGCAGGGATGAGGCAGATTTAGGCTTAAGAATAGGAAGCCACCTTCCCAAGCCTGGCATTTTTTTGGTTTTGACTGCTAAATTTGTATTGTAAATTGTTGACGTATATGAAGGGTAATATAAAAACATCTTGATTATACTAGAATTTTTCATGTGTCTAGCTTTGTTGGTCTTTATCATGTGACTATCTCATATGAGAGGCCTTTGTCGTTCTCCCATTGTGGAGTTAGAAAAAATGTAAGAAGCAAAAGAAAAAAGAATTATTGTGGATGTATAGATTCATAGCAAAGGTCAACAAGTGGGACATGTCTAGTGAAAGTGTGTTATGATACATATGTAAAACCTTTAAGGCAAATGTACTTTTCCTAAGCTAAATAAAGAAATTTTAAAAGTTTTCTTGTGATTTTCATTGGAATGGAACTGGGCAAGAAGACAGTTCGAAAAGCAGGTATTAAAAGAAGGAAGAAGAGTTGGATTGAAAGAGGAAAAAGATATCCAAGGCCAGTTTTCCAGTAAGCGTTTATTAAATTGTCCATCCCAAACTCCTGGCAGTGTGTTGCTGGAGTGTTTTGATGAATAAGGTTCCTATCAGACCTATTTGATCTGTCAGTAAAGGATACCTAACAATTTTTAAAACAAAAAGTAAATATGTCTTCTCAGCCCCTCCACCATCATTTTAGCAGCAATGTATGGCAACTAACGGAAGAGAAGTTGGGGAGGAACTGAAAATAAGTTAGGAAATTCGTGCCATGCCCATCAGTTCTTCTCATCTCCCCATCCTTCCTGAAGGACTTGTTGCTAGTCAAGCCAATGGTTGGCATTAATTCTGGTTACTAATACTGGTCATTTCCTGTCTGAGATGGGAAGGAAATTGTGTAAAACAAAAGATGGGAGTGTATGGTCTGCCAGATGTTTTTGCCTGCATGTCCCATCAGGCCAATGATAAGGAGTTGTGGAAGCGGCAGTCCAAAACATTCGCCATGTTTGGTGTAAACAAAACACTTGCGAAAGCTGTTCAGTTCGAGCAGCTTCACTACAGTCTAATAAGGAATTTGGGCATGAAGCTTAAGCAGCTACAGCCTAGAGTGTAACTTGTTGGAGCTGTGATAGCTATTAAGCTTGCCTCATCCCCTGATTGAGTGCTACAGACCACAAAGCATTTTTTAAGGCAAGGGATTACACAGCAGGGTGGGGACCTTGTGGCCTGCTAGATATTACCAAACTACAATTTCGGTCACTGCTAGTAGCAACTTTAAGGATGACTGCAGCCATAATCTGAATGTCTACAGGACCATAAGCTTTCCCTCCCCTGAACTGCAGAGAATAGCATCTGTTCATCCCAGTATGATCAGTAACTACTGCTACTACAGTCATTTTACTTAATATTTTGAGTTACCCAAGAGCAGTGGTTCTCAACCTGGAGTGCCCAGATGTTTTTGGCCTACAACTCCCAGAAATCCTAACAGCTGATAAACTAGCAGAGATTTCTGGGAGTTGTAGACCAAAAAGATCTGGGGATCCCAGGTTGAGAACCACTGCCCAAGAGTATCTCATACTCTGAGATACTGGGTAAGAGTATCTCAAAGCTATTGTAAAAGCTTGTCCCTACTGGATAGCGCCTCAAGCCATCGCTGAGGTACATAAACAAAAAACCTGACAACGAAAGGGTCCTAGTATCAACAAGCACAGTGAGGGAATACAACAGTTTACATGATCTTCGACAGCCCTCTTTCCAGTGTAAAGTTCTTTCTGATGCTGGATGAAAGGAGGGATAAGATTTCTAGTATGCTACCATAGGTACTGAGTTAAGTTATAGCTTATAACAGACTGAGATCTTGAAAAAACTATATTTTTGGACCACAAGTGCCAAAATCCCTCTGCTGGAGAGGTCACTGGTGATGCTAGCTGAGAGATTCTGAAAGCTGTTGTCTAAAAATAGCTTAATTCTGCACAAATCACAGGTATGGGGATGGTTTCACAGTGTAGGTAGGAGCAAAGAAAGATAAGTGGTATCTGCAAAAACAACCCGCCATCTATTTCAAGAGCTGGTGTCATTTAAAGGCACTTGTTAAATGTGATACAGAGGATGATGGGGGCCTTTGCATGCCCCAACAAAATATCCCGTGAGGTTCAAAGGTAAATATGTCAAACTGCAGAGAGACAAAAAGGTCTCCCCATTCATAGTCCTTATCCCATGGGATGGGTCAAGGACTAGTCAACTGAGTTTGTTGACATGTGAACTGACTGGACACAGGCTGAACTGAGCTAGGCAGTGACACAGAGAAGTTGCAGAACTAAGAAAAAAGAAATACTAATCTGGTCTGAAAAAAAAATGCCTGGCTGTCACTAAAGAGCTATAAGCATATTACTGGCCTGTAATTTGACATTATCTTTCAAATACTTGGAGCATAGTTATGAAGACATTTAGGATTGAAAAAATTGCATAATCCAGTCAAACATGAAGAGCCGTTTGGAAGTGTCGCTGTTCCCCCTGAAATCAGAGGCAACAGGAAAACCCCAAGGCACTGATCAGATATAAGGGTAGCAGAAAAAGAGGAAGTATATCACTGTAAATTCGGGTGAATGACATTGCAGATATGGTTAGTCACAGTATAAAAGATCATAAGACACCAGAGCTATCCAAATGTAAGGTTACTCTTTAACCTATGTAGAAAAAGGTGCCTGCCAGATTGGAAGGCACCTAACTGGCCCCTTAGAAGATTCACAGTTGTATGACAGTTTCTTCTGTGGAGCAACTCAGAAAGGTGGGATTGGGGTGGGGGGTGGGGGGAGATTGAGTGTGTCATAGAAACAGGAGACTGGACACATTGGGAAAGGAGTTTCAGCTCAGGTCCTGCTCGCCGATACTTAAGCGAAGATATTCCTCATAGAGTTGTTTCTGCAGGGAAAAAAACCAAAACAAATGTGGCATTATTTGTATTCCAACACACTGGCCAAGTCTTTCTTTCATGGAAGATATACCCACTTGGATAGCAGTAACAGAGATCAGGCTCCTTGCTTTTTTCCTACCCATACACACCAAGCCCCATGACATAACACCAAATCACCCGTGGTCAAGCACTCAATACTATCAACCTTTTTTTCCAGCACCACGTCCAACACATAATCTTGCCGATCGGCCAGCTGCCGCTTCTGTTTTTTTGACAGTGTGGGCTTCGTCCTAAGTAGGGCAGATAATGAAGAGATATCATGGAAAGGGAAGAGCTCTAGCATTGTGACAAGTATCTTTTCTGGATGGAGAACCCTTAGTAGTTAAACCATGGAGGCTTCTTACCTGAAAGTATAACTGGCCAAGAGCAAGAAGAAAATGGAGAGGAAAAAAAGGCCAAAGAACACTGTTAAGGTCTGCTCTTCGGGGACAAAACTCCAGACTGTGGCAACCGGACGCTGAAGAACAGAAAAAGACATAGCTATTGGAAACTCCATAATCTACTGGAAATAAGTGCATCATAACCTTATTGAAAAGAAAAAAAATGATGTCACATCAGTTTGGCATGTGAATCTCCATGAACATGTGGAGAAACCACTAGTCAAGAAAAGCATGATCTTGTATGAAGTCAACCCTTTGATCAAGTGATATTCTCAAGCATTCATGTAATGGCACACAGGTAACTCAGCTGTTAAACTGAAGAACCATGTCTTTAAACTGCCAAGGATAAAGACATGCCACTACAAAAATATATTTTGTTAGCAGGGGATGGTTGTTTCTTTGAAGTAGAATTTGCAGTTGTAATTGCCCAAAAGATATACACTCCCTTGAAACCTTTTTAGTTTAAAGTATGCACTCAGAGATAAAAGACAAGGTCTTCTTTGAAAAATAATGTATCTTGTTTACTCATAAACAACTTGTATTAATTCAACACACAGGCACATGTCTTGTTGAAAGTTCACACTACTATCAACCTTTTTTCCCAGCACCACGCCCAACATTTCATTATAAATGGCAGTTCCTAATTGGTTCTATCATAAAAATAACCAATAATGAAATAATAATTAAATTTTCAAAGTTTTGTTAGAGTTCTGAAATTTTCACCACCAAAACTTTAGTTTTGTAAGTACTTTAGAACCATGGATTGCCCAGACCTACTAGGTTGGCAGAAGCAGGGACTAACAGCAGGAACTTATCCCGCTCCCCGAATCTGACCTGCTTATGTTTTGGTCAGCAAGTTCAGCAGCTCAGTGGTTTAACTCGCTGTGCCACCATGGAGCCCATCTACATTTCCTACTCCCCCTCAATTCTAATTATACAGATTTTATTTAGTTTTAAGAATAAACAGTATTGAGTTGTACAGCATTGTTCAAGAAAGCATGAAACCAATTCTTTTGGGACATAGAGGCCAAAAAGATTCCCCAAACACTCACCACATATAGCTCCAATGCTTGGCTTTGCTCCTCTCCCAAGACCAGAGTCCACAACTGGCGAGAAACGGAGGTGCCAAAAAGCAAGGTTACAAGGAGAAAGATGGGCAACAGGCACCCAGCAATCCCCAGGAGTATCCCCCGGAAGCGGGAACGGAAGTTGCTGCTTCTGGTTTCACTGCATGTAAGGAGAGGGGGAAAAGTAAAACAACAACACACTCAACAATGACAAAAAATGTTGCATTGTCTACTACTAGGTGGTAGTGTATTGCAGGTCCCCGTATCCTCGTCTTCTCTCCAATATCACTACATTTATTTTTAAAGAAAGATTAGGACCCCAAGCTCTCCTTGTCCAACATATTTTTGTTAAGAGTAATCATGTCCATTCTACCCACCTTTCTAAAGAACTCAAGAGTCCAATTTAGGCTGCATTATGATACATATTTTTTTGGGAGCAGGAGCCTTGTTGAACTCCAAGGAATTACTTCCAAGGCAACATCCATAGGATCGTAAGATTGTCATGCAAATAAATGTTGTCCTAAATTAGACTTCCTTGTTACTTTCTGGTAAACTCAACACTTCTGCCAATGATAGGAATCAAGTAGGAGCAATCTGACACTGAGCATGCTTGAACAGGTAGCTCATCAAACATTAACTTGGATATTCGGCAATTCAAATTTATTACCTTAAGTTACTACTACCCCCTGGTGGCACAGCGGGTTAAATCGCTGAGCTGCTGAACTTTCTGACTGAAATGTCGGCAGTTCGAATCGGGGGAGTGGGGTGAGCTCCCCCTGTTAGGTTCAACTTCTGCCAACCTAGCAGTTTGAAAGGATGCAAGTCTGAGTAGATCAATAGATACTGCTCTGGCAGGAAGGTAACAGCGCTCCATGCAGTCATGCTGGCCACATGACCTTGGAGGTGTCTACAGACAACACTGGGTCTTTGCCTTAGAAATGGAGATGAGCACCACCCCCCAGAGTCGAACACAACTAGACTTAATGTCGGGGGAACCTTTACATTACATGAAAGTAGCCACCAACTTTAATTTCTAACTCCTACTTTTACCTTTCATATTTCTATGGGCAATTTTTTTCCACATCCCTCCAAAATTATACACGATGACTGCACAGAATGGCTAGTCTCACACTCAGCATACTTTCCAATAATAATAATAATAATAATACTTTATTTATACTCCGCCACCATCTCCCCAAGAGGACTCGGGTGTTGAGGATTCCTCATCGTCAGAAGAGGGGGGGGGCAGGGAGGTGCTCAGGTCTTAGAGGGAGAGGAAGAAGAATCCGACAGTGAGGTTTTGCAGGTGCCTACTTTTGTAGAAAGACGGAGGAAGTAAGAGAACAGGTAGCGGTCAGCTCGAATAGCTGCTAAAAGATTGATGAGCCAATTGGGTGACACCCTAAGCCCTCCTGCGCGGGGTATAAATCAGAAGCAGAACTTAGCTTTTCGCTGCTAACAACAACTATGTTACTGCTGTAATCTACTTTGTGTTAAAGACTTAGTGATCTGTGCCTTCTTGTCTGCTGATTTTGCTGGGACTTTGCAAAAGACTTTCATTGGTGTTCTGTAGTAAGACTTCCTTGTTTCCTTTTTCAATTGCATTTGCTTATTTTGTTTGCTGGAGTAAAGCATTTTTCTTTTACTTTCAATTTTGCATTAAGGCTGTTTTTAAAGAGCAAAACAGGACATTGGGGCAGCTTACATGAGGCCATGCCCAGCAATCCAGTAAAACAATATTATCTGTTGTATATGCTATGATTTTACTGCTGTATTATGTTGTCTGGGCTTGGCCCCATGTAAGCCACTCCGAGTCTCCATCAGGGACTCGGAAATAAAGTTTATTATTATTATTATTATAAACCAATATAATAAACAGAACAACAATATAAAATCAAAACATTAAAACACAGAAAATTGATCACAGTGGGCAGGGCCAATTGCAAAGATTAAAATTTAAAACACTGGGTGAGAGGGCAATGTAACGTACCAGGACAGGGGATCCAGGGGATAAGGTAGGGTTTAACTGCACTAACTGGTAAAATAAAGTGCTTCTGAGAGTATTTTATGCAGAGTTTGGTCAGGGATTATTGTACATTCAATCATTGAATAGTTCTGCCTCATAAAAATACATTTCCACTTGTTGCCAACATTATCCTTTCCCTCAAAGCGGAGTTGCTCAATTCCCACAGTCCCATGCTCTTACTTGTCCTCCTCTAGCAGACGCAGTGTAGCCTCATTGATGAGATGGCAATCCCGCTCCAGGGCATTGAGTGTGTGCTGCACCGTTTGGCTGATTGTCTTATCAATAGATCGGCAGATTTCCTCAATCTGATTAACGCACCGGCTTGGCTGAAGGGGAAAGTAAGAAAAGTTATTTCCCTCACAGTTTTGCATATTATCTGCTTCTAACTTTAAAGGTCACTGCAGTCAGCCTGCCACATTCACTTGGGTTAGGAGCATAGGACATAAAAGGGAATAAACACAACGAAAGGGGTGTTGTGGGTTTTCTTTTTTGCACTTGAAACTGCAGCTTCTTTTATAGACAAGGGCAAAATACTTACAAAACTAGAGGGTGCTGGTGCTTTGCTTTTAAAGTGTTGCTAAAGTTCTGAGGGTGAAAATTTCAGAACTCTAACAAAGCATTCAACATTTCATTATTATTTCGTTATTGGCAATTTTTATGACAGAACCAATTAGGAACTGCCATTTATAATGAAATTTTGAAAGTTTTGTTGGAGTTCTGAAATTTTCACCACCAGAACTTTAACAACACTTTAGAAGCAAAGCACCAGCGCTCCCTAGTTTTGTAAATACTTTAGAACAATGGATTGCCCATGGATACTTTACTAGCACTACCTCACAGTACCTCAACTAGAAATGAGTGACAGGGAGAGGAGATTTTTCAGTCTACAAGACAAATGTGTTCTAAAAACCTCCATTTCCAGCCTCCCATTCTCTCCTCCTATTTCAATAGGCCATTTTTTTTTACATATGATTTATAGGCAAATTTTGATAGCAAATTCCTTCTAATCTTTTCGTCACAATCATTCTTTTTGACCCAGCAACCATGAATTTCCTACTTGGAGGTGGAGGAGATGCATGACTACCGTCTTTTATGAAACAATTCCTGGTTCAATGTGTTGTTGAAGGCTTTCATGGCTGAAATCACTGGGTTGCTGTGAGTTTTGTGGGCTGGCTACTAGTATTAAAAACTCTAAAATCAGAACAGTAAATAAAAAGCAACACTAAAAAAAAAAAACGGGAATTCCAGACAAGAATCAATCAGGGCCAGCTAATACCTCCCAACAAAGGACCTCCTCGGAAGCAATTAGTCAAGCTTTGAAGCTACATGGCCATTAAATGCTAATCAAGGTGGGTAACTGCAACATTGACACTTGCCTCCAACAGACAAGAGTTCTTTCTCCCACCCTGGGCATTCAACAGATATATAAACCTCACTTCCAAGTTTCCAACAGACCTCACAACCTCTGAGGATGCCTGCCATAGATGTGGGTGAAACATCAGGAGAGAATGCTTCTGGAACACACCATACAGCCTGGAAAACTCACAGCAACCCAGCAACTCCTGGTGCTTTCTAAAGCACATCACTTACTTTTAGGGCTCCTGAAAGCAAAGACATTTAAGAAGGGTGACAGACATTTCCTGATTGGAAGGTTTGAAACACTCCTGTCACAGACCTTTGTTTTCCAGACTTCCAAAAGCAAGTGAGGCAATTCAGAAAGGGTTGTCCTTCCATCTCCTCCTTGGGCAGCAGTTAGTATGCAAAAGCAGCCACCACTGGCACGATTTTCCTCTTACCCTCATTCTTCTGGAATTGCCAGAAGAATGATGACCTGCTAGAAGTTGAATTTTTCACCAGTCTCTTTACCCCACATAGAATAGGCTGGATTAAACATTGTTGCAGCTCACCAAGGATCTCAGGAAAGCCTAAGTGGTCCTTGGTCTCTCTAGCCATGCCCACCCGTGCTCTAGAAGTATATGTGGTTGGTCACTCACCTTACTGGGACTGGGGATGTAGATTGTGGGCATGTCAAAACCACATTTATTCAGGCCTGGACGCTTACAAAGCTCCTGGACAATTTGCATCAGCACCCTCTGCCAGTGAAAAGCACAGGCCAGAATCAAGATATAGATATATAAAGCAAAAGCAAAAACATCAACAAGCTTTGACTTTTTTTCTTTCAGGTTTGTATTGTATTTTGCATTTCTTACTCAGTTATCTCCAGTAGACCCCCTACTTATAGGTGGTACCTGTCTGTCCCCCTCTGCACCAGCCTCATCGGCTTTGCTGAGGTAGAAATGCAGCTTGTCACCGTAGCCTTCATTGAGGTGCTCCACAATGTTGAGGGTGCGTTTGCAAAGGGCCTGCCCCATAGGATCAAAGAAGACCAGAATGAGGTCGCAGAGCTGGCCTGAGGTGAGAAAACAGAGACAGGTGGTAGAGTTGTTTACCCAAAATAAGAGTATTAGCTATAAGCCAGACTGATATACATGAAAGAAGATTAATGGTAGTCACATACATATTTGGTTCGTAGCTATGCCAGAACAGTAGATAACGAGAAGCAGTATTAGCTAAGTTAAGAAAAGATGGGAGGACTCCCTTATTGAAAAAAAAGAAAGATTTATAATATGAGATCATTTGTTGAGATTTGTGTGTGCCATCTTGTGCTCAATGAAGGAAAGGCAGGATAAAATGTAACAAAATAATTTCCTCTGCCACACATCATACAGTTCCCACAACTTCCATTATAGCAATTTCAGCCACTGCTTGCAGCTCCTCTCATGAGAAAATATGATTACAACTAGAATCACAAAATCCCTAATTCCAGACAGAGCCATAGAGTTGGAAGAGACCTCGTGGGCCATCCAGTCCAACCCCCTGCCAAGGAGCAGGAAAATCACATTCAAAGCACCCCTGACAGATGGCCATCCAGCCTCTGCTTGAAAGCCTCCAAAGGAGCCTCCACCACACTCTGGGGCAGAGAGTTCCACTGCTGAACAGTTCTCACAGTTCTTCCTAATGTTGAGGTGGAATCTCCTTTCCTGTAGTTTGAAGACATTGTTCCGCGTCCTATTCCCCAGGGCAACAGAAAACAAGCTTGCTCCCTTCTATGACTTCCCTCACTTATTTATACATGGCCATTGTGTCTCCTCTTAGCTTTCTCTTCTTCAGGCTAAACATGCCCAGCTCTTTAAGCCTCTCCTCATAGGGCTTGTTCTCCAGAACTTTGAGCATTTTAGTCACCCTAGCTTAAACCAATTAGAAAGGAAAGCAGGAAAATCTCTTTTCATTCCATGCTTTTTATCACTTTGCTTCATCTGCAGTTTTCTTCATTTATACTAGCGAGAGGGAACTTTTTGTATATCCAGATGGTTTGGCCTACAATTTCTAACAGCTCTATGCAAAAATTGTGGGCGCCCTAGTCCAAAATATCTGACTGGTAAAATGTTTCCCATCTCTGATTTATACATTTCATGCGATTCAGTTTTTTTTTCTCATACAGGCTGGTTTAACTCTCCTGATGCCATACAGACTAGCAATAACCAAAACTATTTTATACTGCTAAGGCACTCACCAAACCATATAAGTGCTGCTTCTACATCAAATGGATATTTCATGTCACCATCTACCAAGCCTGGAGTGTCAAGGAAGGTGACCAGGGGGAATTGCTTCTGTTTGGAGGTGCAGATTTCAGTGCTGAGGTACTCTGGCACCCCTAAGTGAAGGAAGGGACAGAATATTAAACCTTTGCAACAGCCACCTATTTTCATTGACATATAACAAATACCAACTGTGTCCTCTAACTTCAGATGCCATCCACCATTCAGATGCTCTCCACTCATTTATCTTCATTACAGTCTTCAGCAAATCACCAGCTTTATCTTTTCTACTAGACAATAACTACAATAGCATGGCTTTATACACCATGGTTTAACCTCAGTTGGCTTCCACTAACCTTTAAAACTCTGCAAAGCCTGGAAATGGGGGTACAGATGGAGCGTAGCATTGCCCTGTAGAAAAGGAAGTGGGGGAATAGATGAGTATAAGGACATAGGATTGTTCTAAGCCTACAGGAACAGCACAGACTGCTTTTAAGAGGATTAGGCAAATCCATGGAGGACAGGTCTATCTAATATACTAACAGGAAATCATACTCCAAACAGAAACGTCCATGCATTTTTTAATGTCAGGAGCAACTTGAGAAACTGCAAGTCACTTCTGGTGTGAGAGAATTGGCCTTCTGCAAGGATGCTGCCCAGGGGATGCCCAGATGTGTTACCATCCTGTGGGAGGTTCACTCATGTCCCTGCATGAGAAGCTAGAACTGACAGACAGGAGCTCACCCCGCTCCCTGGATTTGAACCACCAACCTTTCAGTCAGCAGTCCTGCCGGCACAAGAGTTTAACCTATTGCACACTGGGGGCTCTGACATACATGCATAATATATAAGATCTGAACACATCTCAAAGTTTACAGATATAGAAAAAGTAGAGAAAATCTTTAGGGGAAACAAGAAAATACTCAAAAAATAACCAAGCCTGCTTAGTGGGCAAAAAGTGCTAGCTGGCTGGACAGGAGATAAAACTACTTTGGAAACAAAGGATAAGCTTGAAAAAAAAAGCCTAGGCAGTAGGAACATAAAACAATGAATCACTTTTTACAGATTCTACTGAAGCACTGTTAGTTGTAAGATCCAAAAACAAAAAGCTATTTTTAAAATGTGTATACCTGGTCAAAGAGTAACAGACAACAAGAAATGACTTTCTTTGTCCTGTTTGCTTGTGGGTTTCCTGTGGGCATTTGGCTGTTGTTAGCCAAGTACAGGGGCCAGAGTTGGCCCTATCATTTGGCATAGTAAGGTTGTCACCTCAGGTAGCAGATGTAGACAGGAAGTGACAAAATGATGGAGGAGATAGTTGTATGTCACTGGGCCTTTCCTAAATTTGCTTACTATCTTTCTCAGGGCCTCATCACACTAGAGAAACAATCCACTTAAAATCCAGTTTCTACCTCCTGCAGAATTCGGATTTTAAGTGGGTTTTTTTCTCTAGTGTGATGAAGTGGAAAGTGGTACAGGATGCTATTCCTGTGGCTGTATTGAAATAAGATTCAGTTGCCACTCTAGTTAGCATTATGCCATGTTTCCGAATTGAGGTTCTGTAAGAAATTCATTTGTTATTTCAAACTAAATGTTTTCATTCTAGGAATCACAGCCTATTTTCCCATGACAGCACAAATCAAAGTATGAGTTTCTCACCGTGAGAGATTCTCGCTTTCTTCCACTGGTGATGAAGGTGAATCCCTGAGTCTCAATAGCGACACCAGTTCGTTGAATGTGCTCTTCCACATACCTGCAGGGACATGTTGAGGAAACAAAGATACACTCATTCCACTCCCAATATTGAAAAATGCCTGGCTTTGAGCTAATCATGGAATTTTATTTATTTATTTATTTATTTATTTATTACATTTGTATACTGCTCTTGTCAGCCCTCGGGTGACTCAAAGTGGTTCACAATAGCAAAATTCAATGCTTAAGACATCATAAAACAGTTAAAAACAATTAAAATAATAACATTATAACAATCCATTAAACATCATATAACATATCATTGTCTCATAATTAAAATCAAGATCCAGGTCTGCACCTTGGAAGGTGTAGCTTCCTAGAAATAACTCAAGATGTCCTAGTTAAGTAACCTGAAGATGTCCTAGGAAGACAAGCAGATCAAATAGTCTCAACTTCTTTCAATGTATAGGTTGAACATCTCTTATCAAGTATTCCAACATCCAAAATCTGAAACTGTTCACATAGGCAGCTGATATATCAACACATTCCCTTTCTGGTAGTTCAATGTACCCAAGCTTTGTTTTATGCACAAAATAATTAAAAAAAAAACATGGTAGCAAAATATTGTCAGGCTATGTGTGGCAAAAAAGTAATGACTTTCATGTTCAGACTTGGATTCCATCTCCAAAGTAACTCATTATGTATACGTATGCAAATGTAGTTATTATAAACCCAGAACCCTTATAACTTCAAGAATTTCAGATATGGGACGCTAAACTTGAATGATCATCTTGCTCTTGAATAATTTATTTTTTATTTATTTACTCTATTTGTAGTACACCGAAGGGGACTCAAGGTGGCTTTACATATGGCAACTATTCAATGCCTTTGGACAACAAACAGTTAGAATACACTTAGGTTACAAAATTAAAATTAAATGCACGTTAAAACATATAAAACATTGCATTCACTATTAAAATCACGCCATCCTCAATCATAATCCGTGTCCATTCCAAAGATCAACTGCACGTAATAATGGAAAAATTAAACCCATCTATTACACAATAATGGAAAAATTAAAGCCATCACACAATGTTTCTACATGCTCTGTGGATTGCAACTACTTTCATGAATGCAAACAGAGCAGTATGATATATCTTGTATACCAAGGAAACTACCTATACATTAATAAGTATATAAATATTCATTCAATGCAACACACTTAATACAATTTTTTCAAATGAACCAGTCAACGCCAATCAACACATGACATTTTACTGTTGGTTACTATGTATCCTTTGTATACATCCTTACACCTATGGACATATCAGAACCTCATATTTAAATGCAATGCTTTAATCAATTTATCAAAAGAAATCTTATGATTAACCACAGCTCTGGCTACAATGCCTTGCACACTGACAATCTTTCAAGATTAACCCACAATCCTTAATCCCTGATTTCCCCGTTGCGCTTTGCATCTATGCCAGTTCTGTGTATACATTTCCCAGCAATAACTTACATCCAAGCTGAACCCCACCTAGACATTAGCCAAAACTACCTTGCAGCCATGCCATCTGTGCCAAGGGAATTCCCAAGGCCTCATATCCATGCCAATCTCTTCCTAAGGCTTTCTCATAATATTTTGCATCCTTGCCAAACCATAAGGATTTGCCCAGAAGGCCTTGTATCCACTCCTGCCATTTTCACAATCCTCCACACTCACACCAATGCCTACGGATTCTCCCACAATGCCTTTTGCACACACTATTGTCACGATATGCTATCACAAAAACACACTCACAACTATTTGTGTCACTCTTTGCTCACCAGTTAATGAAGCTACTCTTGCCAGCGCTGTGGTTGCCCATGACCATGACAGTCACTTTGCGGCGTGGTGGGAGCAGGGTCAGTCCCAGCCGTGCCCCGATAGTCACCAGACCTAGGAAGAAAGAGAAAAAAGAGACTTTAGGGTTGCCAAATGGAAAACTTGAGATGGCTCCTAATGCCTTGCAGAACAGGATATTTCATTATTGTGAGATATATATATATATATATAGTGTGTGTGTGTGTCTGTGTTTGTCATACAACCAGATAGCAAGCTACACCTGATGAAATATCCTATTCTCTGCAACTATTAAAAGACAGAAGATTTTGTCTGGAATCCCTAGATATGGCTTCTTTATTGTGCTTTTTTAAAAAAATGTTTATTACTCAACCATGCAAAAAAGCAACACCTGATTAAATATTCTATTAAACACAACCATTCAAAGGAAAGGAGTTCTCACTCTGGAAACTCTAGATATGACTTTTTAATGATATTTTTATTATGGTTTATTATTATTTTTACACAGAGCAGTTCACACACAAAAAAAATAAACAAAGCAAAACAAGAAATAACAGGAAAATGAACGAAGATATAAAGGAAATAACAGAGTATTTAGATATAAAAATGTACAGAACAATTAATAAGAGTTCCTCTGAGCATCTCTGGTCTAAAAAAATTGGGAAAATGGCACTTATATAATAGTTGATGACAGAAACAATCGGTCAATATTGGGTTTGTTTCAACATGTTGTTGAAGGCTTTCATGTCCGGAATCACTGGGTTGCTGTGAGTTTTCCGGGTGGTATGGCCATGTTCCAGAAGCATTCTCACATGACGTTTCACTCACATCTATGGCAGGCATCCTCAAAGGTTGTCAGGTCTGCTGGAAGCTAGACAAGTGGAGTTTATATATCTGTGGAACATCCAGGGTGGGATAAAGAACTCATGTTTGTTTGAGGCAAGTGTGAATGTTACAATTGGCCAGTTTGATTAGTATTGAATAGCCTTGCAGCTTCGAAGCTTGGCTGGTTCCTGCCTGGGGGAATCCTTTGTTGGGAGGTGTTAGCTGGCCCTGATTGTTATCTTGTTTCAACTTCTCTTGTTTTCTGAGTATTGTTCTTTATTTACTGTCCTGATTTTAGAGTTTTTTAAAATACAGGTAGCCAGATTTTGTTCATTTTCATGGTTTCCTCCTTTCTGTTGAAATTGTCCACATGCTTGTGGGTTTCAATGGCTTCTCTGTGTAGTCTGACATGGTGGCTGTGAGAGTGGTCCAGCCTTTCTGTGCTCTCAAATAAAATGCTGTGTCCAGGTTGGTTCATCATATGCTCTGCTATGGCTGACTTCTCTGGTTGAATTAGTCTGCAGTGCCTTTCATATTCCTTGATTCCTGTTTGTACAATGCTGATTTTGCGGTTCCCTATTTATTTATTTATTTATTTATTTTATTTTATTTACAACATTTCTATGCCACCCTTCTCACCCTGATGGGGACTCAGAGCGGCTTACAAGTAAAAAGTAAATACAATATATTATCATAGAACAATATTAACATTATATATTACATTATACTGTAATATTATTAGTAATATTACATTTAATATAAAATATATAATTATAATATCATTTTATTATTATTAAAGGCTAAGTAAAGGTTGTCCCCTGACATTAAGTCCAGTCATGTCTGACTCTGGGGTGTGGTGCTCATCTCCATTTCTAAGCCGAAGAGCCAGCGTTGTCCATAGACACCTCCAAGGTCATGTGGCCAGCATAACCGCATGGAGCGCCGTTACCTTCCCGCCGGAGCGGTACCTATTGATCTACTCACATTTGCATGTTTTCGAACTGCTAGGTTGACAGAAGCTAGGGTTGACAGCGGAAGCTCATGCCGCTCCCTGGAATCGAACCTGCGACCTTTTGGTCAACAAGCTCAGCAGCTCAGTGCTTTAACCCACTGTGCCACCGGGGGGGCCCTTATTATTATTATTAGTAGTAGTATATTGTATTACATTATAATATGTAATATTATATGTGTATGTATGTATGTATTATTATTATTATTAGTAGTAGTAGATGATTGTATTACATTATAATATGTAATATTATATGTGTATGTATGTATGATTATTATTATTAGTAGTAATAGTAGTATATTGTATTACATTATAATATGTAATATTATATGTATATGTAGACTTATCCACAGCTACATGGTAACAATCACCATGTCTGCAACCCAATACAATAAGCCCTTAAGTAAAGGTTAAAGTATTCCCCTGACATGAAGTCCAGTCGTGCTTATCTCCATTTCTAAGCCGAAGAGCCGGCGTTGTCCATAGACACCTCCAAGATTATGTGGCCGGCATGACTTACTATAATATAATATTGTTTTGAATGTGTGCCTCACAAGGTTTGCTAAAGGCTTCCAATCTTTAAAAGGTGATTCTCCTGCCTCCTGAAATCCCATGTAACTCTTTCCATCCCCCTTCCCCTTCCCCTCTCCCTCTCCCCCCTAAACCCTTACCGTGACCCGGATGCACATAGAGCGCGTGGGCCTCGCGCAGGACCCGCTCTGTGACCGACTCGCCCCCTCCCCCGAGCGCCGGGTTGGCGGCCTCGCGGGCCTTGCCGCCCCTTCCCCCGGGCATGGCGGCCGGAAACCACGACGAGGCCCGGGAAGAGCAGCCGGTGGGAAGAGACTACCGCTCCCGAGAGGCATTGCGCCAGGAAGGAGGGAGGGAGGGGAGAAGGAGGAGAAGAAAAGAGAGGCGCCTCCCCCAGAAGGCAGTCTCTAGTCACGTGGCCACTAGTCACGTGGCCTCCCCCCCCCCCCCCCCCCCCAATCATAGTGTATTCTTCCACGAGCTGGGGAAGCTTTCCCACAAATACTTAGGTGACCAGTACAAAGATGGATGGATAGGATGGATGATTGATAGATAGATAGATAGATAGATAGATAGATAGATGGATGGATGGATAGGACAGATGGATAGGATGGATGATGGATGAATGGATAGATAGATAGGAAATGAACATAGGAATGGAACAATGGATGACGAATCTAGATTATGTTTTTGATGACTTGACGAAAAATGTAATGTTTGTTTGTGGGATTAATTATGTAATATGTTAGGTTGTTAACTGTTTTTACACTGTAGCATTGAATTTTTGCTGTTCTTATTTGTTGTGAACCGCCGTGAGTCGCCTTCGGGCTGAGAACAGCGGTATATAAGTAAAGTAAGTAAGTAAATAAATAAATAAATAGGTGATGGATGGATAGATAGATGAAGGATGGATAGGATGGATGGATGGATAGGATGGATAGATGATGGATGCATAGATAGATAGATAGATGATGGATGGATAGAATACATGGGAACCCTGACAACTTGACGGCCCGCTGCGAAGCATTTGCTCGGTTCTTTGCGGACAAAGTCGCTTTGATCCGTTCTGGCCTGGATACCATGTTAACGGCAGTCTCTGAGGATGTAACACGAGCACCTGCTTGTCCGATTTTGATGGATTCATTTCAATTGGTGAAACCCGAGGATGTGGACAAGATACTTGGAGGAATGAGAGCAACCACATGCATCCTAGACCCCTGCCCATCCTGGCTTCTAAAGGAGGCCAGAGGGGGATTGGCCGAGTGGGTGGAAGTGGTGGTTAATGCCTCCCTTCGGGAAGGCAAAATTCCAGCCAGCTTAAAACAAGCTGTGATAAAACCGCTGTTGAAAAAACCATCATTAGACCCCACTCAATTTGTCAACTATTGGCCTGTTTCCAATCTCCCCTTTTTGGGCAAAGTCCTGGAACGTGTGGTGGCCTCACAACTCCAGATATTCTTGGTAGACACGGATTATCTGGATCCGGCACAGTCTGGCTTTAGGCCGGGGCATGGTACCGAGACAGCCTTGGTCGCCTTAGTGGATGATCTCCGCCGGGAGCTCGACAGGGGGAGTGTGTCCCTGTTGGTCCTGCTGGATCTCTCAGCGGCCTTCGATACCGTCAACCACGGTATCCTTCTGGGACTCCCCGCGGGAATGGGCCTTGGTGGCACTGCTCTGCAGTGGCTTAGGTCCTTCCTAGAGGGTCGTACCCAGAAGGTGTTGATGGGGGACAACTGCTCGACCTCACAACCATTGTCTTGTGGGGTCCCGCAGGGCTCAATACTGTCCCCCATGCTGTTTAACATCTACATGAAGCCGTTGGGAGAGATCATCCGGAGTTTCGGGGTGCGGTGTTATCTGTACGCAGATGATGTCCAACTCTGTCACTCCTTTCCACCCACTACTAAGGAGGCTGGTCAGGTCCTGAACCAGTGCTTGGCTGCTGTATCGGACTGGATGAGGGCTAACAAATTGAAATTGAATCCAGACAAGACAGAGGCACT